ACTGATAGAATGGCTGAAGCTGAATGGATGGTAGGACTAGACATTTTTTATATTTTAAAATTTTTTATTTAAAATTTTTTGCAATACAAATGTATATTTTGTGATTTGTATTTCAGCGGAGCACATAAAGGTATTATGAATTTTGTATTTAAAAACGACGAAAGACTAAAAATTTTTTGTATTTTTAATTGAAATAATAAGATTGATTGTCAATCTTAGTATTTGAAATACAAAATACAAAATACTTTCGACTTTTCTTTTGTTATTAATATTGAAATACAAAACACAAAACTTTCATGTGCTCCGTTGAAATACAAAATATAATTATCTTTTACAAGTACTGTTTTTTAAATAAAAGTATTTCAAATACATGTCTAAGCCTTGGCTGAATGCAAACCGAAAGCTCGCAACATACTTCGATCATCGTCAAACGAAATTGTCACCATTAAACAGTGTCTCTCTCTCTTTTTTTCCTCCATCCGAGAAAAAAAAGGAGAACCGATCGTGGGACGCGAAGTCGCGAATTTGCGAAATCACGTATGACGACGACGACGACGACGATAGTCGAGGTCGATATATAACGTGGAGGTAGTAAGAGTAGTAACAGTAACTAGCGCGCCCGCGGTGGCACGCGATCTTCCAGGGGCCCCGGCCTGAGATGCGGAGATACCAGAAAGCCGGTCACGAAAGCTCGCCTTCTCGCTCTTACCCTTTCTTTTCGTTCCTTCGGTCGTCTTTCAGTGAGGAAGTCGTTGAATCGCCACGACTCGTTGTCATGAGTCATTGATTCACGTAAGAAGTTACACCGGATACCATACTCATACTTACGAGGTTCAGGTCGCGCTATCGGCGCAACATTGAGGCGTGCTTGCAATCCCTTCCACCATTGACAATAATTTGAATACGGAAAATACCGAAAGAAAGAAACATATGCAAGTCTGTCAAGGTCGTCGCTAAGAGACCGACAGGACGATAATGCCGGACTGAATGTCCGTGTTCAGGAAACCACAGGGGGGTAGGGAGATCTCGTACCGGTCCCTGTTATCGTAAGCTCGATAGGTTGGAAATAGAATCTTGAATGTGTATGTGGTGGCTTCACATAAATTCTCTTTCTCGATCTATACGACAATAGGATTATAATATGAAAAGAAACACTAAAAATTTTACTTGAATAACCTACTGTTACTGCAGTCTATCTTTGGCAAATTCTAAGAAAATATTATCCAAGATTTTCTCCTACAAATTATTTTAATAAAAAAATAATGTGAAAAGAAATACACTTAAACTTTACTTGAGCAGCCTACGGTTATCATATAGCTTATCTTTGTAATCAAATTTTAATAAAATATTATTGTTCAAGATTTCCTTCTACATTTTTTTAGTTCGAAAAAATAATATGAAATGTTAAAACTTTACTCAAACAATCTATTGTTAATGCAGCTTATTTTTAAATAAAAATATTACTCACTATTTTCTTCTACTTTATTTTGATAAAAATAATCTAACAAAAATACTAAAACATTATTCGAGCAGACTATGATTATATCACAGCCTATTTTTAGCGCAATCAAGTTTTAATAAGATATTATTCAAGATTTTCTTCTATTTTAATAAGACATTTATAGTCTAAAGTCATAAAATCATAAAATAAAAGATATTAGATTCGTTAATATTGCTTTTATCTCAAGTTTTAATAAGATATTATTCAAGATTTCCTTCTATTTTAATAAGACATTTATAGTCTAAAGCCATAAAATCATAAAATAAAAGATATTAGATTCGTTAATATTGTTTTTATCTATTTTCGTTAATACTTACGAAACCCTTAAAAAATATAGATCATAGATGTTCAGACCTTGTCTGGAAACCGAGTATGATCCAGCTTGCGTGAAGCTCATAATACAATAAAAACCTTCTTATCATCAGTATAACATCCCTCTTTCGGTAGACTGATAGTTCTGATAGTTAACGAATATTTTATGTGCGTAGGAAACCGTCAGAACGACCAATGGCCAGTGATGGTTTGGTTCCATGGTGGCGATTTCAACACTGGAACTCCAGCAATCTGGGACGCCTCTGTATTCGTTTCCAAACAAAAGGTGCGACATTGCATTACGCAAAATATAATACTTGCCAGAATCTAAGATTGAAATTAACGTGACCCGGTCGACAGCGATCTAATCAATATGATCACGATATCTGGGAAGAGAGAGGATGATTAACGTGTATTTTTAACGGTGTTCAATCAATTTCCTGGACATTTACTAAGCGGACGTAAAATCGAAGGGAATTGAATCAGACCAAGCCTTTTCCTTTTCCTCATCTCGCGTGCTGTTACTTCTAGCATAGAACCGCACCCTTTGATATTCGCCCGCGATGCATTATTAATGGAGCTTTCGTTATACATCTGATGGAATGTACATAATGCGGTATCGTTTATGGCTCTCAGGTGAATAACTCACCGCGGGGAAAAGAAAATGAATTGATCGTTTGCGTGGCACAAATTACGAAACTAAAGTAAATCTTGAAACTTTCGGTAACGATTACTGGTGAGATTTTATCGCGCGCACGCTTAAAAAAAACGCAGAGAAAAGTTTTTAACAATCCGTGAGATTAAACAGGGACGACTTTTGCGGCCGGCAGGTGCTAGTGGTGACGGTGGCGTATCGATTAAACATTCTCGGATTCTTCACGACGACAGACTCTGAGGCGTCCGGTAATTATGGCATGTTCGATCAAATCGCCGCCCTTGACTGGATAAAACGAAACATCAAATATTTCAACGGCTCGCCCAATAATATTATCATCTTTGGTCACAATTCCGGTGCCATAAGTGTAGGACTGCATATGCTGAGTCCTCTCAGTAAAGGGAAATTCCACAAGGCGATTGCTATGAGCGGGGACGCCATCAGTTCTGTTGGCACGCTAGAAAGAGAGAAGCCGATCGTCGATATTATAACCAATAAATTCGGCTGCGATCGACGACCGACCAGTAAGCTGATGGAATGCTTACGTCGACTATCAGCCGATTTCTTAATCAAGCACTCATCTGACATCGAGAGCTGGGGCCCGATCGTCGACGCAGAAATCAACAACGAGACGGATCCATTTCTTGCTCAACATCCTAGGGACATCTTGGAAAATGGTAATGATAATGTTATATGACTATATGACTAGAACTCTTTAAAATCAATTTAAAGATAAGCGGAGATATTTAAAAAGCATCATATTGAGCTTAAGATCTTTTTTTCTTATTATAAAACTTCGTTTTATAATTTGATACTAATGTTTACTTCTATCAATGCAGATTAACTTTAATTACGATTTAATTTACTTTTATCTTTTTCTAATTTTGAAGATTAATTAAATTGACGTTAACATTGGTAGAAATAAACACAAGAGAAAATTATTAATACTGATTTAAAGATACGCGAAGATACTCTAAAACATGTTCAAATGTTTTTTTGTTCTCTAAAAGTTTGAATTCTTTTCAATATTCTTTTAGGAATTCCTTTCGATCTTTATATTTCTTTCGATATAATTTAAATTTTTCCTTAAACTTTAATAAAACAACGAATTAGGTAACTTCAATGCGGTGCCGCTAATGGTTGGCTATACGAATAACGAGCAAGTTTTGGCGTACATGGAGATCATCAGTGATAAGAATCCAGAGGGCGGACTTTCTTCGGAAAACTTCGAGACGATGATCACAGATGAATTCACAGCGGCACTGGAGATCTCAGATGACAACAGCACGTGTGAATTGAAGCCAGAGATGGTGGCAAACGCGGTGCTATTCTTTTACAGACCATATCCAACCACGACAAACATGACGGTGTTCCGTGACAGATACTTGGACCTGCAAACGGAAAAGAATTTCGCGGCTGGCCTGACACAATTGGCCGATAAAGTGGCGAAAAAATCGACAGCTTTCGTATATCGATTTGACTATCGTCCCAAGCAACCGGTCGCGAAGGACGTACCGGAATGGGCCGGTGTGCCGCACATGTTCGAGCTCCCATTCGTTTGGGGTTTACCGCATACATCGACGGGCGTCAGTGCGACGCAATGGAACTTCAACGACAAAAGGATGTCCGAGTCGATGATGACAATGCTGGGAACGTTCGCCAAAACCGGGGATCCTTCCTTCGTGGAGAGGACAGTATCGGTCAAGTGGGAGTCCTATACGCAGGATAATCCGAGAATTCTGATCATCGATAAAAATATCGAGATGAACGAGCCGGGTGCAGTGGATTACAAAGCGCTCGCATTCTGGAACGAATATTATCCGCAGGTTATGATGGAGGCGATGAACAATTGTTGCAATGTTACAAGCACGGCGACGACATGGAGGATATTCTCTCATAGCGTGTGTCTCAGCGGCGTGATGGCTACGGTGGCGTTTCATCGCTTTTGGTTCTAGCTACGGTCACAGCGTGAAATATTAAATACTGAATTTAAAAAAAACGTGTTATTGCGCTCGCTATTGTATATTTTTAATAGACCAATAACGAAAGAAAACGAGATGGCGTTGTCGGATTTTGCAATTTTATAACAAGATATCTTTCCACACTCTACTTTTTAGAAGCAAACGCAGTAACAATCTTGTTATATTCTTGTAGAATACATATCTCGCGAAATTCGCATCTTCTTGTGTAAATAGATTTGTATATGTTTCGCGATTGTTTCACAATTGTTGTACGCATTTAATTGAGATTTCTCGCACTCGTATGTCTGTATTTATTGCGATATAGTATAGTAAATTTTCCTATGTTCGCATGTTTGTTATCTCAATTACATTGCGTATATCACAAAGTTATTTTATTCCGTTCTTCTTATCTTACATATTACTTGATGTAGATTAATACGAAACAAGGAGAAATTATCTATAATAATAATCAGGCGAATGGCAGAACATAGTTCACAAACGAGACAAAGGGGGCTCGGAATGAAATAAAATGAAATCCAGGTTGCATTACAAGAGTAGGAAACTTGGGCCCTTTTTTTTTAACATTCATTGATTTTTTTATTTGCCTTAATACGGAGAGATATAGAAAAACATACTTTGTTTGAGAAACAAACAGTTCGATAACTTATGAATATTTTGATGATCCGATAATAATAATTAATATTAATAATAATAGCAATAATGTTCAAGTACCATCTATGTATAATTATTATATTATATAAGAGAGAGAGAGGTGCGCGGCGAGAGCGCGATGCATGGGGGCTGGTGGTCTGCGCACGCGCACATCCACACAAACGTTTCTTTTTTTCTTATCTCTTCCTTTCTCCTAAATATATACTATTAATTAATCATTTTCCCCTTCATTTATTCATGCAAAATTCCTACAGTGATAACCGATGTTTGCGGGGTCTCGTATCCTACTTTGTGCGCCGTTGCTTGCGCGTGCACACGAGCCATCCCGGAACCAATGTTATATACAATATTTCCTTCCGTTTATCGCTGCGTTCCTTTGCACGTATCTCTTCGTTCTTCGCTCCGCTGCGTTACCTTGTGCCCTTTATATGCCCTTATTCTCCCGTCTCTCTACCATCATCTTACAACCATTCGGATTTCAGTACCGTAGACTCCCGTTCTACTGTCGCCTAATATTCCGTCAGCCCCCTCCTCCTCTTTTGTCATTAGTATCTTCCTTGTTTTATAACCGCTCCGGTCCTTTTTTTTTAATCCACTGGTATCCTCGGATTTTCATGTAGGAGAATATGGGCTCCGCCACATATACCTTACAGAAGTAGGCACAGCGATTTCTTCTTTTGCTTCATCTTCTTCTCTGGCGATTTCTTGTTTATTTGTCGCACCAGGTCGTAGAAAATCTGAAAGCGAAAGACAACAAGTTGTTAAAACTTGACTGCAGCAATTATTTATCGATTAGAATACAACATTATTAGCATTGTACAAAATATTGCGAGCTAATTACTTTTATTAAAAAATAAGATGAGTGAGATGAGATTGTAAAATACGACTACTATAAAATGCTGTTTAAATCAAAATAAATGAAATTGAGAGTCACAACTCACATCGCGAACATTAATTTTAGCTTTGGCAGAGGTCTCCATAAACACGCAATTGAATTGCCGGGCAAGGTTGACACCCTGATCCTTTCCTACTACCCTCTCATCCTCCAGGTCACACTTGTTACCTACTAGCACCATCGGCACATCATCTGTGTCCTTTACTCGCAAGATCTGTTCTCTGAGGTCTTGCAGGTCGTTGAAGGTTGATTGTGCTGTTATCGAATACACTAACACGAAGCCCTGCCCATTTTTCATATAAAGGTCCCTCATGGCTGTGAATTGTTCCTGCGAACAGACAAGAATATGATAACGTCACTCAAAAATGCAATCCGTATTGTTACAATCATAAAGTGAAAGAGAAAGTTACGCGACGCGTTAAGAGATAAATGAAACAACATATCTTTATGCTACTTTATAAAAACTTCCACATTACGTGAACAAAACAGACGGAAACAGTATAGAAAGAAATAAGTCAAAATTAATACTTAGGAATTAAAATAAATAAAATCAATTTTTTGTCTAACGGTATATCCGGAATAAAGAAACAGCAAATACATTTAAGAGGGAAGATACTTACCGTGCCGGCTGTGTCTAGAATTTCTAACATACATTGTTGACCGTCGACCTCGACTTGCTTGCGGTAACTATCCTCAATCGTCGGGTCATACTTCTCTACGAAGATTTCCTGGACAAACTGGACAGTGAGGGCGGACTTGCCTACACCTCCACTGCCCAGCACCACTATTTTATATTCGCGCATCTCCTTGCCCTACCTACTGCCTATGGGCCTGATCACAGTCGAGGGGTCACCGAATCCGCCACGTTTTGCCTTGATTTGCTCTCAGTGAGACGGACCTGAAACAACAACATGCAACCGTCTAGAAGCTGTGAACATTACACAATGGATTAATTTTAATGACACACCTTCTTCGGGACGACTCAGCCTTTATGACTCAATGCTTTTTATGCGGTGATTTCATGCGAAGTAGAACAGAGGTCATATATGCGATTATGATAAATTACTAGGATCGTTATATGTATAGGAAGGCAATCATGTTCTTCCGTGAAGAATAATAATCTCTACAATTTCTAATATTATATCGATCAAGGACTCGTTTCGTTAAATAGAAAAAGAGAGCTATTCATAAAGATATATTGAGAGAAAAGTGTTCGGTATCTGTGACTACAATTTGTATTTATAATTGCGTGGTAAAATAATTATAGTTAAAAGCACCATTTTTATGGTTATTACTGTTATAATATTAGTAATAATAATTATATTTAAAGTTCTATGTTGTACAAAAATAATATATAATTGACATTGTAAATGATTAATTATAGCTATTTATGATGCCAGCTATACATTTTTTGTGTATCATAAAGATAAACATTTAATTCTTTGTATTTAAATTTTTTTAAGAAGATGACTCAATTTTATGTCATTATATTTTGAAGCGCACCATTATAATTTTAAATTTGAACTTTATGCTGCGCTTCGTGGAAAGTTTCCTTTTTCAGGCTACTGCTACTTAAAGCTGAAAACTGCTGATATCATGCAAAATTCTGATATCCGGAAACGGAAGCGGTATAGTTAATTGTTTCACGGGAAAGTAGTAGCATTTGCTCCACAAAATCACGCGTTGCTTCTCTTGTCGTGTTTTACTTCGCTGAAGAGTGTTGTTTCACGAATAGTAGAGTAAGAGAGAAAACGCGAATATCGCGAATAGGACGTTGATTGGTTAACGGTGGCATCATGGCGACACGCTGCAACCAATCGACAACCGCAGAATTCTTTGTGCCAATTCGTCATTGATTTTACCTTATGAATGGACCTGTACAATGAAAGCTGCTGCTATTACTCTAGGACTTTCGTTGGTTACGATGTTTGATAAAGTTACCTCAAAGGCGTAATATTTCTAAAATGAATTTAAAATTTTACAACAATAAACTATTATTGACATCTTTTACATGTGAATTTCGAAAAAAATTTCTAAAAACTGCACATCGCATTGTTAGATTTCTACAATTTCAAACAATTAAAAAAAATTTTATTCGACTTTTGTATTTTTCGATTACTATTTACATACATGTATGACACATTGAATGTTTCAAATCCGTATTTAATTCAATTTGTTTATTTATTGTTATTTACTTTGTAAAAAAAATTGAATTTTGTTGACTAGTGTAACGAATATTTGTGAACATAAGAAAAAGATATGGCAATGTGTCTCCTATAATTTTGTATAAGATATTATTCCGATCAGGTTGATCGTCAATAAATAATTCACCGAAATGTCACTTGACAAATTTAAAATCGGTTATCTATTTTCGAACAAATTGTGTCGTACGTCACTGCGATGGCGAATCAATTTCAAATTTAGTCCTCAAAGATACTCGTATAACAATCACTTCGGAAAAAAGCGGAGAAAGAAAATGTTTTTGCAGGAATAGAATTTCAAAGTTTCTCAATATTTTCTTGGACAACACATGACTTCTTTGTCTGGTCTTTACAAAATGAGATTAATCATGATTACAATGTATTGTAATTTAAGAAAAATTTTAATAAGTATAATTTAAGAAAAATGAACACGTGAACAAAAAATAAGAACCCGTGGAAAGGAACACGCACGGTAGGAAATAACTTCATTATCTTTTACGAGTGTATCTTTCCCGGGAATGGGGAATAGCTCTCAAGCTTTCTTTTTTTCCACGGTTTTTCCTTGCTCTCTCCAAGGTGTATGCCGTGTTTAATTTCTCGTCAACTTTTCTCCATTCTCCAGGCAGTTCGCGATAGTGTTGTTCTTCTACAAGTTCATTAACAAAGATCAACAGTATCTATAATAACACGACGACATGCTGATATCATGAAACATTGATCTTCGATTTTGCGAAATAGTGCCTTGAAAGAGATATGCGCGTCGCTCGTTTAGCTTCGTTATGATGTATTTACATTTTACAATTTCGTTAAATACATATAGGACAATTAAATGCGCCGTGAGTTAATGGAGATCGTATAAAAGGGGCGAACAGGGGCAACAAGTTGATGTTCGAGAAGGAATATCAAGTGGATCGAACTTTCGGTGTTTCTCCGCGGCCAGTAGTCAGTTCTTATATTCAAGACTATCTTAAGTACAATCTTGAGATGTTGTAAACCAATCACAGAACTATTAGCAACTTAAACATTACTTAAGACAGTTTTGTAATAAGAACGGACTATGAATATCGGTCCGCGATTGAAAAAATGTCATACACAAAGGATGCGTTCCATTTTCAATACGTAATCATTCTTGTTTATCAAATATTAAATAAGGATAAATGATGTTTACAAACTCTGTAAGCACAAAACGGAATGCATTCAAAGTTGCAACACACTAATGTCTAAATTCTAAGCAGAATCGTAAAGCTCATAACATATTCTTGTAAGATTTGTGAGAATTTTTAAATGCTTATATCTTTATACAATATTTTTACAGGTAGCTTTTTACTAACCATAAAATTTACAAGGAATCGTAGATATTTACGAAAAATCGTACGTCTTACAATACGCATAAAATTAGGATATTAATCACAAATTCTTACAAGTTTTACGAGAACACATTACGAGTCTTATGTCAATTCTGCTTAGAATTAACCCATAAAGCTCTAGATAAATCAAAGTAGCGCAAAAATCTTCCATTTTTGATTTACTAACCATAAGTTGTTCGCGTTGCTTGAAAGCCCCAAAAATGTTTGCACTTAAAATGAGATAGATATATATTTGACCTTGAAAAGAGAGAAAGCAAAGATGTCAAATGCAAGCAACGTAAACAAGACCCATATTCCAATAATATTAAGTGCTTATTGAACTACAGACAACTAGAAAATGGCGAAATAGTCAATAGGAAAGTTATCGGCATTTCGGCTTAGATAAAAGGATTATGCTACTTTGATATCTCTAAAGCTTTAGTGCACACACACACACATATATATACCTACACACATTTAAATACAGATTAGAGGAAAGTTCGCCAAAATTCTGCTGACCTAGTTATTTCGCGTGGAACAAAATCTTTGCGTTTGAGATTTAAGATTCATCAATAGAGAAATCGAAGAATCAGCTCTTCAAAACACGTGCACGTGTGTACTCAAGAAAAAAGAAACTTCAGCCGGTTTTGCACCCTGTATTCATTTTTCTCGAAGGATAAGGATAATCCATCCTATGATTTACTTTGTTAAGGATACCTGAACTCTCCGTGCAACATGAGAGACTCGCAGAAACCGAGACGTAATTCTGACGAATTTATATAGACAATATATAAACGAAAACAATCTCTATGCTCTCTTCACAATTTGTATTTATAACTCGAGGAAGTTTATCAGAAATTCATTGGTTTGTAAATTCTGAATTTCTGACTATTGACGAGTTTGGAGATGTCAGACGATTGCTTTTTAACTCTTCATGGCATTAAAGCATTTTTTTCAACTAGATATCTTGAAATAAGAGTCTAGATACTCGAGATAAATAGAGCAGCAATATTTAATTCTTTATTGTAGAATATATAAATTTTCGTAAGTTTTACGTGAGTCTATACTCTCTGCAATGGCGTCATATTTGAGAGAGGGTCTCTATTTTCGACTGACGTAACAGATACAGACTACGCATTGTCTGATCTTAGCATCTGTGCTCCATTAGAAAGAACTGAATCATATCAGTATGTCTCTTTCTTGAGATATATGCTGATATAATTCAATTCAACTCTGTCACCATCTCTCTTTAACTCAATACTTGAGAGAAAGAAAGGATGACATGATTCAAGTTATCTCATTCTTTTTAAACTGATAGTGACAACTTCAGGAATGTGCAATTTATTCTTATTGTATCTATGCTTTCTACTGTGCATTCACTTATTGATTAACTCGTTTTCCATAAAATACACATCAAGTTCTTTTTGATACGTTTATATACGTAATAGAAACTGGTCGAATGAACTTTGATTAACCTTCGTCTTTGACTTTAATTAAGTATATTACTATCTAGGAGATGTCGGTTCGTGACAATTAAAGCCGCTAAACGCGGGAATTAGAAAGCAAGGCTTCTCGTGAAGTTTCTCATTCTCGTGAAGTATTTCTGCCGGCAGAAAACGCAACTCGAAGATGACTGTTGCAACCGTGTCATTTTTCGAGTGCACTCTACATTTTTTATTACTATTCGTATATAAATAACTCATCATTTATCATTTATTATTTCCGAATCATTCGAAGTCTTTCTTTGCTGCCTTCTAATGGAGATCACATCGTTATATTTCAAAACCTAATCTTCTAAGAGAAATACTTAAAAATTTGGAACCAACTTGAAAGAAAAAAAAAATGAAAAGATTATAAGATATTTCAAGAATATAGATTCGAGAAGAGACGATCGCGTTCTTTGACTCCGCAGATGTCTTGGACTGAGCTTTTTCACTGATTCACTGCTTACTTTTATCAATTTCATGATCCTCTTACGAATTTATCGGAATGGAACGAAATCAACCTTATTTACAATCTGCAACCTGCGAGATTTCCGAGAGGATAACCACTAACTGAAATATTGTACCGTAGATTACATGATTTCGTATCATTTGATCTCATACAGTATCACCTGATTACAAATAATTTTCCTTATTGCATATGAAGTCATTTAATAAAATAAACGATTTTATCTAATGCATAATGATTCCTCGTGATTAGGAATTACATATGTAATTATCAGATTATACATAGGGATTTTATATGAATTTTATAATGATTTCGGGGATTCTATCCCACGATTACATTAAGTGATTATTCCCCCCTCGGAGATTTCTCACAAGATACTCCCGCAAGTACTTTGATGGCAA